CAATCATTCATGTTTTGAGTTCATTCCTTTCGATAAAAATTAAAGTTTAATCTTGATTTTATTTATAGCTGGAAAAACTGGAAAATACTTTCAATACCCCACAATATGGGTATCTTTGGAATCGGAGTGACGTGTAGGGACCATAAATCGATGTTCTGGATTATTTTAAACACACTTGCTCTAGTTCCGTTGCCTCCGAACGACATGGATTTATGCAGAAGAGCTCCACTGCATCAAATCTTGTGCAATACACATCTTTTATAATTCGCGAGCTTGAAAAAGGCGAACAAGTTGATGCTAACGGGTGTTCAATAAAAAATGAGCATGAATTCAGTGCCGTCCAGCGCTCTTAAGAGAGAATTGCGACTAAGTTGCGTCGTATGGCTGACCAGGGCCCCTTCTCCAATATTCATTGACGTTTTTTTTTTTTTTGAAGAATAAACATTACAATACTGAATTCGTTGAAAAAAAAATTGTTTTGCTTGCAATATAACTGAAAAAAATCTCATTTTTTATTGAACACCCGTTATCTACACGGATCTCTCTGCTGCGTTTGATAAAATAAACCACAAGATTGCTGTTGCTAAATTAGAGCGATAAGGCTTCCATGGTCCCCTTCTTAATTGGCTTCGTTCTTACCTTACCGGTCGTCAAATGTCAGTGAAAATAGGTGACCGTATTTCTCAGTCGTTTCCGGTTTCTTCTGGTGTACCCCAAGGTAGTCATATTGGGCCGTTTGTATTTCTCCTGTATTTGAATGACATTCACTATTCAATCAGGTGTCCGAAACTATCTTATGCAGATGATTTTAAACTGTATATTGTCGAAAAGGATCATATAGTGATTCAGTTTTCCTTCAACAACAGCTGCAGAAAAAAAAATCACCCATCTGCTTAACGTACAGCCTTCATGGTCAGACACTGAATCGGGAGACTCAGGAGTCATGTTAGATTGTAAACTAACCTTCAAGAAGCATGGTCATATGTCTTCTCAGCTTGGCTTTATTTTTCACTTTGCTAAAGATTTCAGATACCCTTCGTGCTTGAAAACGCTTTAAAAGGCGAACACGAAATTATTGCGACACATTCAACAGGGCATAACTTTTTTACCATTGGGTAAAAATCAACCAAATTTTGCACACTCTCTCATTGATGTGTATTGTGTACATGCTGTCAAACTCGAAGTCGTGTTTTTCGATTCAACGAAAATGGAGGTGAACCAACGCGAGTTGAGAGAACAAATTCTTTCCAAACACCTGGAATTTCCTGACCTGTCGCACCTGTCTCCAGAGTGTTGAAGCGGTTCCAGGAGCGGTTGACGTTGGACCACGGCAAAGGAGCTGGAAGAAAACCGGGACCGGAGAACAAAAAGACGGAGGGAAAGGTGAAGCGGATGATTAAAGCAAATCCCAACGTCTCAAGCCGTGATTTGGCTAAAAAGATAGGCATGTCGCAGAGCTACGTCCGGAATGCAAAGAAGAGAGCTGGACTACATACATACAAGGTACAGAACTTCCCAAACCGCGATGAGCGGCAACAATCGACGGCTAAAACTCGGGCACGGAAGCTCTACGAGAAGATGCTGACAAAATATGGCTGCTGTGTGATGGACGACGAAACGTATATAAAAGCCGATTTTAAGCTAATTCCGGGGTTGGAATTTTTCACCGGCAAGAGCAAGTTCGATGTGGACGACAAATTTAAGAAGAAGAAAATGTCGAAGTTCGCCTCCAAATATCTCATTTGGCAGGCCATCTGCTCTTGCGGACTGAGGAGTGAGCCTTTCGTGACAAAGGGCACAGTAAATGGCGAGATCTACAAATCTGAGTGCCTCGAGAAGCGCCTTTTGCCGTTCTTGCAGCAGCACGACGAAGCTCCGCTATTTTGGCCAGATTTGGCATCATGCCACTATTCTAAAAGTGTCCTGGAGTAGTATGAGGCCAATTCTGTCCATTTTGTTCCAAAGGACATGAATCCGCCAAACTGTCCGGAGCTGCGCCTGGGCAATAATGAAGTGGGAACTTCGGAAGAGCAAGAAGACAGTCAAAGACGAGAAGGACATGTTAAGAAAATGAAAAAAAAAACTGAGAAACTGGTACCGAATGACACTGTAAAGACTTTGATGGAGGGCATCAAGCGAAAATGCGTTCAATTTTACACTCAAGGCTCCATCGATTAACTTTTCTTTTGATTTTTGGAGTAAATATATGTATAAAACTACCCTATAATTTTGGTTTGATTCTAAACATTATAAGAAAATTGGCATGACATTTTCGGTGTCGCAATAATTTCGTGTTCGCCCTTTATTGTTCACTAGTCCGTTCGACACTGGAATACTGTTCAGTAGTTTGGGTACCGTTTTACAATAATGTCACGAATCGACTTGAGTCTATTCAGAGGAGATTTGTTCGCTACGCTCTTCGTTCGCTACCCTGGAGAGACCCAGTAAACCTCCCTTATTATGAAAGTCGATGTAACTTGCTGAGCCTATAACTTCTCAGTGTTCGCCGTGACGTCGCTAAGGCTGTCTTCAAGGCCGATCTCTTACGTTCGGACATTGACTGTAATCCACTTTTGCAACAGCTTAACATTAATATAAGACGAGTCAATTTGCGAACCCACTCTTTCTTTATGATCCCGACTTCTCGCACAAACTATGGTGGAAACGAACCAATTACCAGCATGTGTAAAATTTTTAAAAGATGTTATAACTTTTTTGACTTCAATGCTTCCCGTGCTAGCCTTAAGTAATTATTCTATAAGGTTGTATCATCCTTATTAAGTAAAGATTATTTTTTCCAGAATTAGTTTAAGTATATATGTATCTGTAGGATTTTATGTTATCTGTTGATACAAAAAGAAGAGGGGCAAGGTTGGTCCTCGCAGTTTTTACGAACTAAATCCCAAATAACGGGGTTTTTTTACGCACTAATTCGATTTGCGAACCTCCGGTTCGGTTCGTAAATGGAAGTTCCGGTGTATATCGTTTTTTAGTAACAAATTCTTGAAAACATATGGATTTGGGATTTCAAAACTATTTTTGCTTAAACATTTAGAATCTTGATAATTGTGCATGGACATATATCTTGAACATTTTCCTAAGTCCAATCTGTATGAAATTTATTCTGTGTACACTTTGCCATGTTTCAAGCTCCTAGAATTTAATTTTGGTTCCTATGTCTTAGTCTATGTCTATGAATTTACTTAAGTTTTATATGCTTAAATTTATGACATCCGGACTCTAGGCGTTTTATTAAAACCATGAACAAACGATCATTGCTTGTTCAAAATTAGTAAGCTTTTAAGGCTCCCCAATTAAGGTCCCAATCGTTGTAAGGAAATAAATGATTAAAGCCTCAGTGTCATATTATTGGTCACAGAAAAAAATGTACCCAAAGACAAGTTGCCTTGACGCAATTTGATTGAATAGCATCTTTGTGATGTTTTTATTTAACCGCAGTATAGTAAAAGGCCCCCTCCAGATAAATTATCTAACTACGCCAATGGGTTTGGCCGTAACTGTCTATGGAATATTTCGCTTTAAAGGTTCACACATAAGTGTTTATGAGATACTAATTGAATAAGTCTAACACATAAACATTTATTTGGTGTGCCATCAGATCCGCTATTTTTATTCTCTCAGTTACTTTTTAGTCACTTGTTTTCCACAACTAAGTCACGATTTGGTTGCTTATTTCTTCAACATGGTCAAACAAATTACTATTTTTGACAGTATTGATCGCTACCAGCCTTTAGTTTATCATAACACACACACTTAGAGATTATTACCGACTTCGGACTGAACGTTCGGTAAAACTTTGACCCTAATTTTAAAAGCTGTTTCTCTAAATTTTAATTTAATACCACTGTCAGTATTGTATAAATAATCGAATCTTGCCTTTGCCTTGAAGTTTTCCTTGTTGAAGATTGTCTTATTTTTACCGACTGTTGAAAGTTCAGTAAAAAATTACCGAACTCAGGATCTCTGTTTAAGTGTGCAGGTTTAAGATTTTCGTTTCTTTCTTATGGAATGTGAATGAAATGTAATTCTTATGAAAAATATGCTGCTTTACGCGAAATGAGCATTTTCAACCTTGCTCTGAAATAACTAACAAATGCCTAACCCACCCCTCATCCTCCCACCTGTCTTGCACTTTTTCAAAATTCTTGATACAGCAAGTACAGACATTTTATAAGCTTTCGCACAGACATTTTGCAAAAACTACTTGGCATCGCAGGGGTGAACATGAACAACAACAAAATTCGAGCGTACTTGAAATACTTTAAAAAAATATTATTTCAAAAGAAACGCATTTCAATAAAGTTTAATATTTATTTGGAAAATCACCTGCTATTATCGTGAACCATGAAAACCTTGTTCCTTTGTTGTCGTCTTTTAAATGATGTCTACGATTATTTACAGATTAAAAGGAAAAATTATTTAATTGAGACAATTACACTCATCATAATGATAATTATCACTGGAAGGAAACCAATCCGTTGACGTTGCCCGTCGCTTAACAGACTAGACGATCGTTATCAGATCACACATGGAAGATTAGTACGACGGTGGGTGTGTTGAAGTGTGTGATGGATGTGATAATACCTCGTTCGGGGCTATTTAACTAAACGACGGCGCTTTTGGCGCTCGTGTAAAACAAGAGACACAGATTCGTTTCCAAGTGGATCAACCAGCTTAACGATTGACCCCCAAATTCAACATTCCATTCAACTGCTATCACATCATAACAATCCTCTGATCGATCCACCTGTAATAACTCAGATCCATATCGGACACACATGCATGAGAACATGATTGTGTTTACTTTGAGCCGGGAGCAAGCACGCAATCCGTTGTTGTGGTGTGCCGTATTGTAGTTACCCCTCAGTTGAACCAAAAGCACAATCCTTCGGCTCAGTCTGTCGCGAACTCGTGCCACGCGTGTTTCTATCTCTCCGTTGCTCCAGTCAGTCACTGCAGTGCATAGTGTGTTGTTTTCAACCTGCCGAAGTTGTTGATGTGTTGATTTCGAGTTGGCCTGGCCTCTCTCTCTCACTCGGACGGGCAGTCAGTAGTGCGTTAAACGGTCATTATTTTAACAACTATTGGTTTGCCGCTTCAAACCGAACCGTAACCGATTTGTCGTCATACCGCTAGACAGTGCGACGGCCAATTTAGCTGCCATTTGTGTAAGCCTGTGATTTGGAAATGTTACTTGACGAGTGAAACGACTCAGCACGGTTATTTCATTAGTTAGGTGCCCTCAGAGGTTGAACCGGAGGACATTGATGCACTCATTAAGTTACAAAGGCTAGTTCAAAGTGACGAAAGTGTTAAATGTTTAAAAACTAATTCGTAGCACAACGCTCAGCACCAACTGAAAAAAAAACAAACAAACGTACCAGTAGTGGTTCCATTGTGATGTGATTCTGGTGTCAACAACAGAACGGACAATCTCTTGAAAACAACTCCTTTAACTATTGTGGTATTGGGGTAAGGATTCAGCTACATGGCGAATGAAAACCATCCAAATGTGAGTTTAGCTCACTCATAAATCACATAAAATTCAGCAACTCACCGATGAGTAAATTTGCTCCATGTTTTCCCAGGTTTGTCCAAGAAAAACTTTCCGAATATGAGAAAAGTAAAGATTGGATTCACTCAGTCTATTGGTACTACTCCTAGACTGAGTATTATTATTATTATTTAGCTTTATTAAGGAGGCTTTCAGCCTTAGGCTGGTTCGCCTCCAAAGCTCCTAGACTGAGTATTATTTTCGTCAATTCTCAGATTTTTCTGAGTTTCTGCACTTTCTACGATTATCAGTAAACTAAACTCAAATTTGGGTCGTTCTCATTCACCGTGTACGTGGTGCCAATAACTTTGCACAATATTGGTCTTTCATCAAAACAAACAATTTCAGCTGAAGACCAGCCTACTATATATAGGCAAACATTTGCTGCATAAGACTAATTTTCCTTGTATAAGCTTAACTGCAACTATAATTGTAAGTTGGGATATTAACAATTATATTAACACCATAACTCTTGTTAATAATTATTCCAAAAGCCTATCATATCTTCTCAAAAGCAATTAGTACACTTGATTTTATTATTAAAATATTCCTAGTGGTGGTTAATAATAGAACATCAAAAAAAAATGCAGGCAGAAATTTTTGCCGTGAGACAAACGAAGCGGAACACTTTGTCATTATTCCTGATAAATTGATTCATCTGAGATGCTCCAAAACCTGATCTACAGTTGAAAAATTTAATTCTTCATCGTTTTTGGCGGATCCTACTGGTGTTCAGGAATATTTTTGTTGTGAAAAATGGCAAATTGGAATAATGCTTTAGTGGTTAAGATCTTCCGGATTTCTTGTGTGTGACTACTTTAGATGCAAATCAGTTCCGATCTGTGGAAAATCGTTAAATAAGGCAATTACCGATGGAATTTGACGAAAGTTTCCAAAACAAATTCTTTAATTACCCAGAAGCAACCCAACCTTTAGGCTGAAAACCTCTTAAATAAAGAAAAAATTCTTTAATTTACGTGTGTAAAATCTTTATTTTGATGTAAACAAACAGTTTGGTTGACGTTTCCTCTTGAACTCGCCTGGCGCACTCTACGTTGGTGGTGCATTAAAAAGGCGTATCTCCTAGTAATATTTTCATAAATTTCAGTTGATACTAATTCATCCTCCGCTGATTAAACACATACAAAAACCATGTAAATGTCGGTGCTCTGAGACTGGCATATATCTAAGAGCGTCATTTTTGACATAAAAACATGAGAGATCACATTTACGTTTTGTCGACTAACGTGTTTTTCGATCTCAGAGCACTGAATTTTGTGATTCAGTAATTGTAATTACGTTTGAAAACAAAGACGTCAATCACCAATTTTGCATGAATAAAAACTCAATCGCAGGGCGTGTAGCAGGTCACTTTGTACACCGTTCGAAAAATTCATGTAAATTTCTGCGATATATAGCGCACATAAAATTAACGCTAGATGTGGCATAAATTTACGTGATATTTCGTGTAAATATCAGCGCAAAATCGCATAAGTTAGCAATATTGTATGCAAGTTTGTAAACGATTTCGCTGTTTAGGCCAAGTATAGCTCAAAATTAAACAAAGAGAGATTTTACGCGATAGTTAAAATACAGAATTTTTTTCTGTGTATTGGCTAGGTCACCTTTTTCAAGGCATTTTATTTTTACTGTCGTACAGGTTTAGCCCGAAAGGTCTCAGAATGTTATGAAATTTAAGCCACAGGTAGAGTTTATGGTTATATGAACAAAACAATATTTCAAAAAATTCGAGGTGGTTAAAAATCCCGGAAAATTTTAGATAAGTTTACAGATTTTCCCGGACATCAAGTAAAATTCATAGCTCTTGAACCAGTACTTTGTTTACTGAAATGATAAGGAAATTATCTCAGCAATCCATAAAAAATATCATCTGAATATTTATCAATACCGTCACAGCAATCATTCAAGTCTCATCATAAAATGCCATCAAGATTTCTCTTAATACTTATCCTCGAAAATTTTATTCGCGATGGCTAAAAACGCAATGATTAATTTCCCCCCGTTTATCCATGGTCCGCTGGATTACGGTAGGGGAAATGACGGCTTCGGCATGACAGACTATTTTCGGTAACCCAAATTGAAACACTATTTTCACTGGATTTTCTTACGAAAACACTTCGCTGAATGCATGCAAACGATTCTTTATGCTTTCAGCTTCAATTTGACTATATTTTTACCACTGAGAAAAAGCAATCTAGCAAGGTTTTCTTGAAATGCAACACACGCACTACAAATTGTAGCTGATTTCGAGTTGCCGATAATAGAACAGAAGATTTACATGCAGTTCAAATGGAACGGTTGCCGAAGAAAAACTGGTTGCCGACAATACTCGCTCTCACTAGAGAAGATTGGAGCTTTGTAAAAGCGTTTCAAAACAGTTTTTAACAATTCTTTCGACTGAAATTGTTAGAGCAGCTGGCAGCAAAAAATTGTAAACAAACCAATACTGCATATGTGTGCGTTCTATAGAGAAAAAGGCTATATAAAGAAGGTCGCTGCTTAGGTTGCCGAGAATACGTAAATTCCCCTATTTGTCTAAACATTGAGTAAAAATTGTCGCAGAATCTAGAGTTCTTTCCTAACTAACTAGAATTCTACATGTTCATATCGAAAATTAATCCAGGACCGTACATTTTTTTTTATTTGATGGTGTTAGAAATCTCGAAATCTTAAGTCCCAGCATCAAAAAAATGGTCCAAAATCTCTAAAACTAATTTCTGAATCCAAACATGTTTTAAAGATCAAGATCTTAAGCTCTAGACACTCTCTTTCCATATCTCCATATCTAGACAGGTCTTTCCATATTGGAAATTTTCCAAGTTCCATAATAATGAGATTTTTTCTAAGACTGCGGTCTAGAAAAGTTGCCTAGGTCCCAGTGTTTTAAAAAATGTTCTATTTTTCAAAAAAAATAATATCCTAGATCTTTCAAATTTACTGTCTTAAAATTTTCTGATATTGTATTTTTCTCTGTGGCAATTTTTCGTATTTAACACAAATTCGCGATCGTACTATAAAATCAACTTAGTTAATTGTTTGTTTTAAAAAATCGAGGTAGCTAAATACGCCTTTTTAATAGAAACTAATCGATCGATTCAACCACTGGTGGTGAACATGAGAACGTCAAAAGGGTGTTGTGAGCAGAAATTTTTGCCGTGAGACATTGGAAGCGGAACACTGTTTTCACTTTTCCTGATAAATTGATTCATCTGATATGCCCGAAAACGTGCTCTATAGTTGAAAAATTTAATTCTGTTTAATTTTTGCAAGGATTGTGCTAGTGTTCAGGAATATTTTTGTTGAGAAAAAGGCAATATTCCAATAGTGCCTTAGTGGTTATGAGCTTCCGGATTCCTTGTGTGTGAATAGTTTAGGTGCAAATCAGTTCGGATGTATGGAAAATCGTAAAATAAGACAATTACCGATGAAAACTGGCAAGGTGTTCAATGAAAAATGCTTTAATTTGCGTTGAGAAAAATCCTTCTTCTGATGTAAACAAACCTTTACATGATGACGAACTCGCCTGGTGCCCTCTACGTTGGTGGAGCATTAAAAAGGCCAGAGTGAGGAAAGTTAAAGGAAGTTAAAATTCGACCGTGCTCCAATATTCTCCCACTAATGCTCTTATTCAATTAATGATTATTTTTCGAAAGCAAATTTATGGGATCCATAAACCCATATCCATGTTTTATTTTAAAGAAGAAATGAATGCATGCAAAATGCTGATGATAAGTTTGTGAGTTTAAAATTTTCCGGGGTCGCATTCAACAAAAGATTGGAATTATATCATTCTGATCAATAAATATATTATTGGAAAAAGATATATGAGGTAATTCTGATGGTTGAAATTGTAATGAAATCCCAAAACCTTCATGATATTTTTGAATATTCTGATTTTTCACGTGATTTGTGTGTGCTGTGCTCATGCACTTCTCATACTCGTTGCTGGCGTTGCTAGTTCACTGCTCCTCCATCCGTTTACGCTGCAGCTCCGACATAATCTGAGTGACTGCTCTGGTGACGTGCCCTCCTTTCGACACATTTCATCGACGACATTCTCCACGTTTAGGACGGACATCTCCCTTCGCACTGCCTCGAACCTTGGACAGTCGTAGACCACATGCTCCGGTGTTTCGTCCACGTTGTCGCACTCCGGACAGAGGGGTGACGCTTCGTGATCGAACTGATGCAGGTATTTCCTTAAGCAGCCGTGGCCAGACAGGAACTGCGTTAGGTGGAAGTTAACTTCTCCGTGTTTTCTGTTCACCTAGGTCGAAAGAACCGGTATTAGTCTACGTTCTCTGCCTTGTTACACTCATGTTGCCACTTAGCCAACGGCTCCGCTATCACAACTTTCCGTACTCTTCCGGCTTCTCTCTGACTGTAACACTCGCTGTCCTCCGCCAGGGATCATTCCAGCGATAACGCATAGTTATTCCGACGAGATGGTTCTGTATGCACTCACAACTCGCATGGCCATGATCCGAAACGTACTGCTCAGTTTCCTTTGGTTCTACTTGGTTTTCAGCGCTGCAACCCAGGCTGGACCTCCATACCATATCAACGACGATACATTGGCCAAAAGACGCCTCT